AGAAAGTTTATGTCTTGAACCATTTGTTATTTGTCCTATTGAGTTATAATTTTCACTTCTCTTTATTATCGCAGTAACAAAAACAGTAAAATGTACTCATTGCTCATTCATTGTGGATGCATTTGCACATGTGCATGTACAATTAATGCAGCGTTATACCTTAAGCGTATGGTACCGTAATTCAACTCTGAAAATAGACGTTTCCATTGTAATCGAAAAATAACATTTTTTATTGCTTTATTGTTAAGCGTTGCCTTTTCCAATTTAAAACAATAAAAATCAACGATATTATTTGTTTATCTGCTATTAACATTTTTAGTGGCTTTGTTGAATTTCAAAGTATAATCCGTCTATGTGTAGCTGCTCCATTATTCATGTCTCCAGTTTGGTACCTCAGTGTAACACACTTTTATCATGGTTTTTATTTGTTAATCCCTGATTTATTATAGCATTATTTGCGGGAACTGTTTCAAGGAAATTATTTAAATGTTTGCTGTTTAAGTAATGCTAAAGCAATTACATTCCTTTAAAACCCGTGAAAATGCAGTAGCGTTGTAAATGAAAATCCTATGTTCTTTCGCCCATTTTTAGATTTTGGCGATATTTATCTCTAAAGTATGTCTACGTAAAATAGAACAGTTGTTCTCAATTCGCATATGCTACTTATTCATTAGTGAACATGAGACAATATTATCCTAATAGAATTCTGGAAATTAAGTCCGATTTGCCGAAGGTTTAGGAACAATTCCTGGAAATTACTGGTTGCTGTTGCAAAACATATGAGATACAAAAACTGATATTATTAAATAATGAAACGGGTGAAGCTAAATTAGATTTTGTAGCTGAACCAATTGCGTTAGCAATTTTTGATGGAAAATATTGAGCCTGCCACGTTTTTGCCCATTTTACCGCTACTAATCACACATTCGAAGTGAATGCAATTGAAGGAATCTGCTTCAATTATAAGCATAACATATCTTCCTTACATAACTATTATTTGTTTCAATCTTATTTTTTGCAAAGTTGTGAACAAAAATTAACGGCTAAATAACAATTACATTATGAACGATACTCTCTAAAATTTTTGAACAAAATTTGTCAACTAAGTATTTTTGCGTATTGTATTGTATTGTTAAAAAACTATATCGATGTTTGACGCAACGCACGCATTAAGTAGTGTGAACAAATAATAGTTTAATTGTTTTTGAAATCGCTGTTATGGTATTGGAATGGAATTCAGTAAAAGTTAATTAATTAATTCGTAATAATACTAATAATAATATTTAATATGCGTTAAATCGGTCTTAATCCGTATGGGAAAATATATGTAGAAAGATACATTCTTACAAAAATATAATTTTTGGTAATCAGCTCATCTAATAAGCTGCGATTTTGGATCTCAACTCCTGAAGAATCTTAATATCCCGTGGAAGTTAAAGTATCGCATATCGGGTGGGTGCAACACAATGCTCTATCCAGAAAATGTTGAAATCCATCTTTTGTAATTGTATGTATTTAATTCATGTAGATAATAATATAAAAGTTCGGTCTCCAGACATGTCCAATAGAACATCCCCATATACCGATATCAAACTTTCAAAAACATTTTCTGGTGAAAAAGCATTGAGTTACATGAGCTCATCTTCATTCAGTCAGTTCAGTTCAAGTCCCAATTGCATCATCAGATTCTACGCGGTTGGTAAATACGTTGCTAAAAACATAAATATTATATTCTGCATGACTTGTTTGTACCAGTTTTTTTGCCCTACTATTGACGCCCACTGTAACACAGCCAAAATAAATTAATTTTTCAAACTTCGACTAGTCGGGCTATCTAAATGAATATCATTTCCTGTTGGACAGAGAAAATCGAACCAGCACGCCAATGAGCAGTGGTTTGAAAACCCGGCCATTGCGTGTCTAATGAATTTGTAATTACAGTTTAGAAACCGGTAAATAATATTTTCCCAGCTTTAATTCCAGTACCACCAGTAATTTTACTCGTTTTCGACACCGAGCAACAATGTTAAAAATAAAACTGTGCTTCGTATTGTGTCAATAAAAAAATTAATAGGAATAGAATCTTTTCAGGTACTGGCACGGGTATTATTCATGGTCTGACTTGCGACAGATACTTACTTGTAAACCAATTGGTAATTGCTTTTGAAAGTAATCGAGCGAGTTGTAGTACAGTTTTCATTTATAGTTATAGCATTGAATAAGATCAGTAAGGAAGAATATTGATCGAATGGCCAATTTTTGAGCATTTTATTGGACATTTTAATGGCTATTAACTCTGCTAGAAAATTCAGCAAACTTTATCGCTAATCGTTTTTATTTGTGACAAAGTTAATGTAGGAAACCAAATTTGGATATTTTTTACGAGCTTCAGGCTAAAATTTGATTTTTAATATTTGGCCCCCACAACCGAATAATATTACATAACGGCAATTTATTAATACATTTTTGTTGTTATGTTGTATGTTACAATAAAGCACAGGACCCACTTTTACTTTCTGTTTTAATAAAACTCACGAATCTATAGCATACACTGAGACTAGATTGGTCACGTTGATATGTTGGATTTATTTTGAATTTTTATCATAAATTTGGCAAATCTTAAATGGAGATTTCAAGTTGGCCGTGAGTTGTATGTCTAATCCACGACATATGTAAGTCTCTCACAGGTAATATATTGAAATACATTCGGCAGATTTTTGGCTTTTTATCCCTAAGTCGCCAACCTTTTTAGGACAACTGAGAAGTTTCATTTGCGTACTTTTTAGTAGATGCCAGCAGTAAAGCATTTGGGCTGGTAAAAAGTCAATTTTGTTTATGGGTCTAATTTATGAAATTCGAAAACAAATTTTATATTCAAAATTAGGATCTTCGTACTCTTATTTTTAAGTCGCAGTTGCAAACCTCAGTCAGATTGTGGCTGGGTAAGGTGTTTCTTTCGTAAGGACAGTAATTACTATTTAAGAGAAAAACAAACATCGACCTCAAAGTCGGATGATATGGAATTAACTATTCTGTTCCAATAAAATACGTTTCATACCGTTCCTAGCAATACTATCAAGACCATTGATTTTAACGTTTCAGTCTTAAAAAAGACCATCATCAGGATAGGCTCTTGGCGAATGGTTCAAAAATAGTTTGATGAAACCATTAATTCCAAAGTCAATTTCGCTGAAACCTCAACAGGCCAAAACTTGAATTGGAACTGGTTATATAAAAATAACATTTCTAATATATTTTAAAATTATTTAATAATTTAGATTCAATAAATCAGCCTTATTTCGCTACGATTATAAACGCTTAAATAATGCATTGATGATATTTTCTCATGACAAGCTAGCTTGCGGATATATTTTGAACACTTGAAAAAATGAAGACAGTTAAATCCCGATAATAAGGCGGCTCTTTGGTATTTATTTTGGTTTTGCAATTCAGCAATTCTACTGGTTAACCAGAACAACCACCAGAATAACTCTTTTTTTCGTATCAAATTTATGAAAATCTAATCGCATTTTAATTTGCGTTCAAACGACACCGTTAATATTTTCTAGACACTTTTGAGAAATTTCTAAAATACAAGATTCCGATGAGTCAAGTAGTAGCAGCAGATCTTTTATAGATTTGATCAGATCTCGTATAAATTGTTACGTATGCCTTTTTTCGAGTGAATACGTTTTTATTAACAATTATTAATTTTAGACCGATTTCGCTTCATTTTTCACACATCGGGTTAAAAACAATCCAAATATCTATTTTCTTTTGTTTTGATTGAAAGACTTTTATAATTAAATACACAGGGTTTCCACCGATGTTTTTGAGATACTTTGTGTCTGAATTACAAGGATAATTTTTACAAGATATAGGATTATGTGGACACGTTAACAGGTCACTATGAGACTACATTTTTTTCAAAGAAACATTGAAACATACCAAGCGTTTTCTGAGAAAACTTTACCTTTACTATTTGAGCGTAGTTCAAAAGTCAAAAGGACGATGTTCTTTTTACATGGAGGTTCACGGACCCAGTTTGGAAAAGTTATCACTAATTTCGTTAGTTAAAATTATTGAATTCTATGGATAGGTCGTGGTGGTTCCATTTTATGACCACTGTGATTTTCAGACCTTAACTTGTTTGACTTTTTTTATGTAAGGACATGTGAAAACACCTTGTTGTTATCCTTTGGGAAAGCGTTTGATGAACTGAAAAACAACAAACGTATTGAATTATGCATTGAACTAAGCGATGAGCACATTGACCAGGATTAATAATTATTATACTGTACTGTCACTATGCTTTTATTAAAATCATTTTGTTATTTTACTAACACGACTTAAATTCACGACGCTAACGCTAAATTAAAATGATGCTCTGGTGTGTAATTAATTAGTGACCGTGATGATAATCAGTTAAAGACACCTATTTAGGTTTGTGGGTTTTTCGGTCAATAGATGGTGGCAAAAACAAAACACTATTTTTTCATTGGCCTAGGAATAGGACTTTTACTGCTAAATTGAAAATTTTCGATATTTTATGAACCGTTGAGAATACAAGAAAAGCGAAAATAATAATTTTTGCTTAAAATTGGCCATTTGATTCATTTACAAAGTATCTTAAATACGTTGGCGGACATCATGTATAACATTTACTTGCATTGTTATCTCCATACGACTTGATCAGAAATTTAAAGCGGAATTTTTAAACCCATTATTATTATTGTACTTTTTTAAAAATAATCTTCCACAAAATTAGCTGAAAATTTTCGCATTTACATTAGCAATGTTTCGGTTTTTTTCCTAATTGTTTATTTATAATGTAACTATCAAATTAACTAAGAACAATGTATATTCTTTCAAATATCGAAATCATTACACGCGTAGCAACTTTACGTCCCAGTTAATCGAGTTAATCGATAATATAAATCAATTTGGCTCATTTTGTATACAATTTTAGTATAAATCTTAATAAATTTTATGTTACTTACAAAAGTCTTTTAGAGGGTTTGCATGGGATTAAACTAAAATCCAGGTGTTATTGATGATAACAAAAGTTGTTATTAAGTTCAAATCAAATTTGACTGACATAAACACAAGAAGGATAAATTTGCGAGATCTTTTTTCTTCTGACCTGAAAAAATAAAAAAACTTGAAATAAACGGTCTCAAAAGCCGAGAGAAATTTTTGTTACTACATAATCATCATATCATCTATGCACAAAATTAACAATCTATCAGATGCACTGAGTCAATTTGGTATTATTGGAAAATGATATGAGGAGGCATGAAAATAGTTCATTCATTGAGAGCTATCAGTCGAAGTCGGGGGCTTTACAGTTAAATAATAGCTATAACCATGTCAATAAAAAATAACAGAATCTTTTTTGGGGTAAAACTGCTCAATTATTCATATCTAAATACGGTAATGAGAATGGGAGATTTTCTATACTGCCCAAGTTAACAGTAAAATAACAGACATGTGAAATCATGAAAATTCAAGAGCAATCGATTCATTTGCTATCGTACTTGGAAAGTGCTTTATTATCGATTACATTATTATATTTACTACGAACCATAACAGTTGTGAATAATTGCATGGTTACTGCTTACCCCATGCTACTTTAAGCCAAAGCTTATTACTCATATAAGTAGAAACTGCTTACATCAGATAACAAAATATTGTCTTATATTGTTGGCTATATTGTCAGTTTCTAATTGGTTTTATTTGTAGTATATAATTCACAAAAATAATAATTTCAAAACACTCACTGAAAAGTTGTTGAGTTTTGTAAGCAAATCGGTTATTTTTAGAAGGCCAATTCAAGTTAAACCTCATAGACTGATGACTCACATTTGAGTGGAAAATGAATATTGAAATTGATATATTGGTACTCAACAATAATGTGTTATACAGCTCTCAATATAGAACAATATAGTTTTTTCATGTTAATGTAATTTTTCATGTTAATGATGATTTAAAAATCAGCGATAGTTCCGATTCAAAAATCAGCAATAGTCTCTCCCTTAAACAGGTGTTAAATTATATGCAATTAATTGAAAGAACAATTTTTTGTGAATATTTGGATCATTGAAATACTAACCATTTAATTCAATTCAAGTTGAACCTGCAACTTAAACGATTTATAATTATGAAATTGAATGAGCTTTCTAACGGTGATGATTATTGATTATTTTTAAGTAACAAACAAAAATTAATATGATTTTAATGAAGGTGATTCAATTTCATATAAGATAAACTTTCAACAGTCACTTTAATATTTGAACTGACATATTTAATATGAAAATCCATTATGGACTGAAAATTATCGTGTTTAAAAAAAAAATTTGAAAAGTATGATATCGCTTTCACCACAGACAAAACAAATTAGCCTTGATATTAAAAAAACGGACCAATTTTATTTATAAAATCCAATAGTTCAAACTAGAACAATTAATGCATGGTTTAAAGGTCTTAAACTGTAATAAAAATGCAATTGTTATTATCGATGAATTTTAGCACAGGTGTGGTATCAATGGAAACAATGGAGATAATCCTTCTTGGTGATCTATAAATATAAAGTGATTCACAGTTCAAACCTTTTGGAGATAACATAATATGCAATCAAAAACTTCTCAATTTTTGTAATATGCTTGTTTATTGATCGTTTTGAAAAATCTTTTTGCGTTGAAAATTTGCATTTTCGGGAATAAAATAAATGTCTATCATAAATTAATAATAATCATGCGTATAACTAATAAACTTTGTTACTTTTCACTAATACAGTATCAACATTTTCGCTTCATGTTTAATTTCAATCTTAGACACAAGCCCGCTTTTCAGAAAAACTCGAAGTACAACGTTAATTATGCAACAGTTAATAAGCGTTTTTAAGTTTTACAAATTTTAAGATTCAAAAAACCCAGTTGAAATAGTGTATATTCCATAAATTGAAATTTATGATGAATGTCTTGTTTGCCTAAACAAGAATAATTTTCTAATAACAAAATTGACTTTTAATGGGTCATTTTGCTTTCATTCAGCTGACTTCATTTATGACTCTAAACACATGTAGTATAAATATGCAGTCTGCCTTTGTAAATGAGAATCATATGGGAAACTTGATTATTATGATTTTCAGGAAAAAAATGTTCTCTACAAAAAGTTCTGCATGGTTAAAAACCTAAAACGCCACTATTAAATATTAAATTTTTTTACGCGTATACGAGGTTTGTCAAAAAATATGAATTTTGTCCAGGAATAAAGTAGTTTTGCTAATATCGAAAATTCTTAATAACAAAGTTGATCAGAACTGAAAACTAAATTTTAATATGCAATTAAACATTTGCAATGAAAACAGTTTTTCGTTTTTGAATCATATACGAGTATCTAAAACCAATTCAAATTTAACTGTAGAACTTGAAATCTAAGATGCTTTTCGTTTGAAAACAATAACACTTAATTAGTTAACTAGATACTCATAAAATAATTGAAAATTAAATAATAATATAGAACAATTAGCTTTAAATTAATTAAAAAAACTGTTTTTTTATAGCAGATATGTATAATTTTATATTCAAACGTGATTTTTAGTTCTGACCAACTTTTTTTAATAACAATTTTCGATTTGTCAAACATATAGGCACAACTATACTATTATCATTACTCTTGGGGAAGGGAAAAACTTCTTTTTTGCTTGAAAAAATTAATATTAAGTAATGCCATTTTAGGTTTTAGTCCACGCCCATCTTTTTACGAAGAGTATTTTTATATTTTTAATAATAAAAGTTTTTCCATATGGTTCCAACTTACGGAGACATAGTATATAACATCTATATTCACAATGGCAACATTTAAGTGTAAAATAATTCCAGACACTGCTTGGAACATGATCAATTAAATCACTATAAATAATCAAACATTCGGAAATAATTCTAAAAATTGCTTTTAGATTAGGGAAAATTGCCTCGCCTACGACTCGTGTTTCGAACTTTGTGCTCGTGTAGTAATAGCTGTTATTATCCACTCGATAAGTAATATAATATGTATTTACTGTCTAGGAATAAAAGTCCGCAACAACTGCAGTGATTTCTAATCATTGATAAACTATGGGCAAAACCTATTCAGGTGCAACTGTTATCGATTGTTAACAAACGGTGATTTCAGTTATTTTTCTATAACAATGATCATATTGTTTAAGGAGAAAAAATATGATTCACAATTGAAATCAGATTAATCTCACGAATGTGTATTTTATTTAAATTAGGATTTTGGACTTTATCAACCATTTATACTAAAAAATTAAATTAACTAAAAACTTAAACTAAAGGCTAACTAAAAGTGTCATTATAAGGGATTATTTATGTAATGCTTGCACCTGCACCGAAAAGCACACGTTTAAT